TGCCACGACGAGGGTTTTTTTGATAAGTCTAGAATTAGAAGCCGGGCTAACAAATTGTTAGGAAGTTAACATTGATTGCGATCAACGTCTGAATTGTTCTAGAAATAATTGTTGCCACGCGAAGCGGAAGTGACCTTTGATCCGAACATTCGGTATTCGTGTTGTGTGTTACGCTTTATAATAAACGAGTGTTAGTGGCGTCTGGAAGTTAGTTAATTGTACGGTATAGTTAATAGACTGACATAGTGAAGAAGAAAGAAAGTGACTGTGGGTGACGCCGCTGGAGATTACCACAATTTGGAGCGGTGCCGAAGTCCGGGCTGCTGCCGACTTCAACAGTCCAGTCAGGTCTATCACAACCAACACCACAAAAACACCACTATACTCAACACATACACACCTCCGGCTTGACCGAGCCCTGAGACAGCAGTCGCCTCATATACAGGTAAGTAATCTCTATTTGACTAGCCTCCCCATTAAATTGTAGTAGGATAAAACATTTTCCATATAGCTTAGTATTATAGGAAATTCTTCCATATAGCCACTCGGGCTCGAACCTGCGGCTGCTCGTTGAATCTTACGCTCATGGGCCCCGGGAGATTCACATTTGCAGGGGCAGCTGTAGGCCGTATCATGGAGCAAAAAATGAACACGATTTCAGTTTATTATCGTAAATATAACATATTTTTACCGAATAATTTTAAAATTTTATTATTTCTAGTAGATTGTTCTAGAACATTTTTTTTATTGTTATAAGAGCCCTCTGGTATCCAGTAAACGTCACTATTTAGTTACCAATGTTAAAGTTAGTGATTGACGACGATTGGGATTATCGATAAAAAATATACAGGATGCCGATTTATGCCCGGTTTCTGAAGTTCCTAGTTATCTTCCCATTAGCTATTGATTCAATAAAGTTATCTATAGGATAAACATCGGTTAACTGTCACTGCGTTTCTGAATACGCAACGAATCGTTCAACAACTATGAAATCATTAACAAGTACCATAATTTGCCGCTAGATGGTTCTGTTTAAGACATCGAGTCTAAAATTGATTTTTTAATTTCAATTCTTCATTTATACTAGTATTATTTATAAAATATATTTTTTGAGGCTAAATAAGAGGATATGCACTGTTTTAGTAATAAAATATGATAATTCCATATCTATCAGAAACTGTATGAATGACATCATTGTATTGTCAGTGTTAAAAAAGAAAATATCAAACTCACGATTGTGGTTTTATTTTTCATAACTTTCTGATTTTAAGTTTAGTGGTATTTACTATCGTTTTTGCATTATCCAAAACATTATGGAATCTGGAAAACGTAGTAAAAAAAATTCTGAAAGAGAGAAGAGTACTCGTATTCATTGTACTTCTATTAATAATTATTTTATCCCTTGAATATTTTAGTATTTAGCGCCCACTGGCAATTTATTTTAATAATAACACGTTATAACCTAAAAGTTTATGTAGTTTGCTTGAAATAAAACGTCAAATAAAGTTATAGAACCGATAAACGGCACGTATTGGCCAGTTAAATTAAACTTAGCTTAAACGGAGTTTATCTTACCTTGCGATTTTCGGAAACGCACTTTCACAAGTTATCGAACCAATAGCGCTAACGAATAGATAAACTGCCGATAAAAGTACCTCAGAAACCGAGCATTAATCCTTTACAATATTTAAGGAGGTAAAACAGTCAACGTTACTGTACCCATACCAACAAAAATAAGTAACATATACCAACTATGCTAAGTAGCCTACTTTATGCGGAGCAAGGGTGGGAAATTTTTTAGGCATGCTGATGAGATTTTCTGTGTTGCTTATGAGCATGCTGAGGATACTTGCTGTGTTGATGTTTAGCAATACAGCAAGTCTTCTCTTTTACACACCAGGCTTCATTGTCTGGTGGTTTTACACCGGGCTTCATTGTCTGGTGGTTTTCAAGCACAAAGCCATTATAGATCCTCGCTTACAGTGATAGGAGAGGGCTATAGGTTTCTTACATTAAAAACAGTAGGTTGAGTCTGAGTTAGAAAATAAGGTAAAAACTTAAAATAACAGTTTTTATTGATGTGGGTAGTGTCTTTAAGTACTGCAGCCGATGTTACGTGAAAAATCGTGAAACGGCTTTTAAGTTCAGTGTTTTCCTAAATTATTTTAGATTTGAAATGTATTTTTGTAATAGAAAAGAATTTAAAAACATAGAGACGCTCTCTTACTGGATTTGGCGTTTCTCGATATGTCTTTAACGCCGACCGATCAATCATATGCTATTATTATAGCAGCTAATGGACCGAGTGACGTCATACAAGATGCCACCAAGGTTGCAACCAAAGTAACTGCTGTTTGAATTGATTCTTAGTTATTGGAAATTAAATATTTTATTTCATGATACTAAAGAGGCGTAAAAAGTTAATATGATTTTTTTCGTGTGATGGAAGTCATGATAAATAGATTTATACAATAAAACAATCATGTATATTTCCTATTATTATATCGAAAAGCTTTTCATACTTAGTAATCTTCAACAACATTATCGATACTAAAACGACGTTATATTTATTAGCGTCACCTACTGGGGAATAGCTAAAATGTTGTCTTAATAAATGCTTAGCGTTGTTTTGCTATTTTTAGCTAGAGGGTGTCACACGCGCACTAGCTCAAAGTTTTTGTATATAAATGTTCCTAATGCCCGCTCTATAGTATACCTATATATTTAAATCTCTTTGATGGCAAATATGGGGGGATATTCTATAAGAGGCATTCTATGCAGGACTTATGTTCAGCAGTGGACTTTAATAGGCTGCAGTGGATGGATGTATAGAAGATAATCTACAGGAGCACATGACCCACTGAGAGGTGAAATTTTCAAATCCACAGTAACATTACACAACTATGGCAAATATCTACCCTATGATTGCAATTTATGGGGCCTATGTTGAGCAGCGGACTTTAATAGGCTGTAATGGATGGATGTATAGAAGATAATATACCAGGAGCACATGACCCACTGAGAGGTGAAATTTTCATATCAACAGTAACATTACAACTATGGCAAATATCTACCCTATGATTGCAATCTATGGGGCCTATGTTGAGCAGCGGACTTTAATAGGCTGTAATGGATGGATGTATAGAAGATAATCTACCAGGAGCACATGACTCAATGAGAGGTGAAATTTTCATATCAACAGTAACATTACACATCTATGGCAAATATCTACCCTATGATTGCAATCTATGGGGCCTATGTTGAGCAGCGGACTTTAATAGACTGTAATGGATGGATGTATAGAAGATAATCTACCAGGAGCACATGACCCACTGAGAGGTGAAATTTTCATATCAACAGTAACATTACAACTATGGCAAATATCTACCCTATGATTGCAATCTATGGGGCCTATGTTGAGCAGCGGACTTTAATAGACTGTAATGGATGGATGTATAGAAGATAATCTACCAGGAGCACATGACCCACTGAGAGGTGAAATTTTCATATCAATAGTAACATTACAACTATGGCAAATATCTACCCTATGATTGCAATCTATGGGGCCTATGTTGAGCAGCGGACTTTAATAGGCTGTAATGGATGGATGTATAGAAGATAATCTACCAGGAGCACATGACTCACTGAGAGGTGAAATTTTCATATCAACAGTAACATTACACATCGATGGCAAATATCTACCCTATGATTGCAATCTATGGGGCCTATGTTGAGCAGCGGACTTTAATAGACTGTAATGGATGGATGTATAGAAGATAATCTACCAGGAGCACATGACTAACTGAGAGGTGAAATTTTCATATCAACAGTAACATTACACATCTATGGCAAATATCTACCCTATGATTGCAATCTATGGGGCCTACGTTGAGCAGCGGAATTTAATAGGCTGTAATGGATGGATGTATAAAAAATAATCTACCAGGAGCACATGGCCCACTGAGAGGTGAAACTTTCAAATCAGTTGTAACATTACAACTATGGCAAATAATCTATGGGGGAGGCCTATGTTTAACAGTAGACTATAGGCTGTAGCAGTACGTGAGCCTTACATATATATAGGAAGATTTCGCTTGATCGTCACACTTGACACATAATAGCTTTACCAGCAGTAACATACAGCCTTTGACGGTGCTACCATTTACCGGTTTGAATATTTTACGCCTGGCTCAACGGGATGGTTAATAGAAAGGCGTTACTTTGTGGAAAGCTATTATTACATTGAACATGTTAAAATTAATCAGCTATAGAAGATAAAAATTATGTGTTTCATATAGTATGAAGAGCACGTTCCGCCCTCCCTCAATTGCGTGCACCATCCCCGTCACCACTATTTTCAACACCACTACACTAGAAAAGACACACTACCGTCGATAATACGACGTTTTGCGCCTCTACACGAGGCATCCTCAGGTGAAGTAGACTCAGCGGTGGCTTACCGCTAAGTCTTAACATACCTAAATGAGGGAGGGTGGGAGGAGCTCTTGAAACTAGGTAAGATAAATCATTTTTATTTTATTTTTTACGCTGATCTTAGTTATTATATTTTAACATCTTAGGGTTGGTTAGACAGCCAACTAATTTTTTGGCCTTTCCCATAGACAGCCAAACAGACAGTCCCAAAGACAAATCATGATACGAAATGGGGTGATGAATCTCTTACGCCATTACAACATTGTGATGACAGAAATAATTTACATGGTAGAGCCATGCTGCAGCTATATTATGGTTGTAGAACGAATGGGTCAATTCGACCGGGGAAGGACCACGCTCTCACAGAATATCAGCGTAGAACATCAGCTCAATGCGGTATGGTGAGCGTAGAGAACCGTAGAACCTTTTTACTTTAAACGAGGCGTTCCATCTTAGTCGGTTAGTTCATCGAGGATAGACGTAGATGTCTATGGACCACGGCGTCCACTTACCATCAGGTGGACTGTGTGCTCGTTTATTACCCATATTCTATAAAAAAAACCTACCGTTTAACGGTGAGATAATAGAGCTCCGTGATCGCCCGCACCGAGTAATCTGGTACGAAAGTGTGACGCAGTATGGAGTCCATATTGATGTTCTGGAGGGAGCCCATCGTTGATGGCGTCGGGGACTCGGCTGCAACAGATAGAGAGATTAGCACTTGATATGTTATACGTGTATGAGGAAGCTTAAAGTGTCTCCCACACACAAGCGGCTTGCGGTGCCGGCTAACTGCGAGCCGCGGATCCAGCCGCTACAACACCACACCACCGCGGTCGCAGTGGCGGCCTGAAGCTCCATTCGCTGTGGTGTCTGTGCTACGATCGGACGTCAGTAAACATGGCTAACCGTGACGATGTCATTTTATTCTAATTAAATTCAGCAATATCATCTCATATTTTGTGCCGGACGGGCGTAACTCTCCGGAGTAAATGTTGTCGAAGATACTCCGCGAGCCGCTCACGTCCTACACCTATAGGTTCCGGTGGATACTTTCACTACCGCCTTTGTGTATGCTGTTGGAGAACTGTGGACTGAGGTTCAGAATTAAAAATGCACGATTTATAAATTAAATAGCAAGGGAGTGGCCAGCGGTTCAACTGATTAATTAGTTGCGAAATATTATAACTTATTTATTTATTTAACACTGTTTTTCAACTATGATTGTTCACTATATATTTCAAAACACAGATTTAATTAAACACACAGTAATATTAAAATTTCTATTGGTTTTTTTAAATTTCTATTCGTATTTTCAAAATATCTGTTGGTAATATCAAATTTCTATTGGCAGTAACAAGTTTCTATTGGTATTTTCTACTATTTCTATTGGTAATTTTGAATATCTATTGGGAGTAACAAATTTCTATTGGTAGTATCCAAAATTTCTATTGGTAGCAGCTGGTTTTCTAACACTACTGACTAGCAGCTATTAATCAACTAAAATTAGTTGAATTTAACACTTTTGTAACTGCGAATATCAGTTACCACTTTTTTCCGTCTAGCTAACACTTTTCACTATATGTAACGGCGAAATTTCCGTTACCACTTTATTCGGCTAGCTAACACTTTTTCACTATATGTAACTGCGAATATCAGTTACCACTCTTTTCAGCTAGCTAACACTATTTTACTATATGCAACTGAGAATTTTCAGTTGCCACTTTTTCCGACTATGTGTAACTGCGATTTTTCAGTTACGACCTTTTTCGGCTAGCTAAACTTTTTCTATTTCACTTTAACTTTTCACTGTGTTCTGCTACTAGTCACTTCAGCTACTACCGGATACTACTGCTTGTTACTGGTAGTTCTTCCTACTACAATGTTACTGTGATTTGCCCCCATAAGGTAGACTTCGGCTATACTCTATAGAGAGCCGCTTGCCAATTTCCGGTTTTGCCTTTTTATTATGAAACATTTTCATTACGTAATTTGCACAAATTGCAATTTTTCTATATAATGCTAATTTTTACTCTAACACGCTATACACTATAAAATAGGCATTTTAGTCCTTTATCATTATGTGATAAGGGTTACTTGATATATTTACATTCAAAAAAGTTATTAATCAAAATGTACCTAATTTACATAACAAAAGTGCACATTAAATCTTTAATTTTACTATATTTCTCAAATGCGTTTATTTACATAAATTATCTATTTACTTATTTCAATCTATATACCATATGCTAACTAAATATCATATTTACAATTCTTTCAGAACATAAAAATATTCTCATTATTTTCATATAAACTATTGCGCAGTTAATTAACTTCTAGAAAGTTCCACGATATGCTGCGCTGTGATTGGTCGAACTTTTATTTAATGTTTAAAGTCGTTTATATCAACTTATTATTAAAACGATACTTTATACAAATATATTACGAGTTGTAAACATACTGTAAACTATATTAAACACAATTTATTCAATTTTGTTGCCAATTTCACCTTTTAAAACAATTTAATATTCTTTAATCACTTTTGCTTAAAGTCTTTAAACCGTCGCGAACATCTCTCCCGCCGTGCAGCGTCGCGAAGATCTCATCGTAGTGGCGCTGCATCCATTTCGGTGAGCGACGTTGCTTCTACTTCGGCAGTGGTACGAGTTTCTTGGTTGGCCTCTTGATTAGGCCGTTCGCGGTTCGTACCTCCACAGTGCGGATCTGTCCGTCCGCACCGGGGAATACTGCTTCAATTCTTCCTCGTGGCCAGGTGTTTCGAGGTAACTGGCCGTCGGCTATGAGGACTGGATCGCCCACCTGGAGATCGGGGCCTCGACCATGGGCCTCCCGCCGGTTTTGGAGTTCCGGTAGATACTCTCGCACCCAACGCTGCCAGAACATGTTAGCGAGTATCTGGGAGCGTCGCCAGTGCCGTTTACTATTTATATCTTTTTCATTGAATACCCCAGGTGTCGGCAGTCTTGCTGATCCTCCCAATAGGAAGTGATTTGGAGTGATGGACTCGTAATCGTTGCTGTCCACGGAGATGTGAGTTAGTGGTCTACTATTTACTGTATACTCCACCTCGCAGAGCAGCGTGGCTAAGACTTCTTCATGTGGATGTCTTTCGTGAAGGACGGTGTATAGTGCCGTCTTCACGCATCGTACGAGACGTTCCCATACCCCTCCCATGAAAGGCGCGGAGGGGGTGATAAAACGCCACACTATGCCTCGTCGGCTGGCTTCTTCTTTAAAAGCCTCCCGCAATTCTTTATCCGCGCCGTGCATGTTGGTGCCGTTATCTGAATGAATTTCGGTGGGGCATCCTCGGCGCGCTGCAAATCTTCTCAAAGCTAATATTGCGGAGTCTGCACTGAGATTTGCAACAATTTCCAGATGGACAGCTCTAGATGTGAGGCAGGTGAACAGAGCCACGTATCTTTTCTGATGTTGCCGTCCCACTGTGACGGAGAGTGGCCCAAAATAGTCCAGACCGGTGAAAGTAAACGGTCTCTGGTGATGAGCGAGACGTGTGCTGGGATGATCACCGGTGGCTGGCACAGATGGTTGCGCCTTTCTGATGCGACATGGCACGCATTGGCTCACTATCTTTTTCGTCGTGGGTCTAAGTCTTATAACCCAGTAATGTTGTCGAACCTCGTTAATTGTAGGTTCGGTTCCGCAATGATGTAGGCTACGATGCGTCCAGTTTATGTACAATTGGGTGATGTGATGATCACCATCCAATATAGCCGGGCCTTTCATATCTTTCGAGACTCCCTTTGCGGCGGCTATGCGACTTCGCAGCGCGATGATCCCGTTTTTTAATTCTATCTGGAGCGGTCTTAGGCGGCTATTATGGGCGACCTTTTTATCGTTACGGAGATTGTCTATTTCTTGTCTGAAGGAGTCCTCTTGTATGACACGTATTAGGAGCCTTTCGGCCTCTCTGATGAATTCGGCCTCGAGTGTGATGTGTCTTTTGACATCTGCGGTTTTTCTTAGACTGGAGGACTGTGTGCGGTGTTGCGGATTGTTTTTTGCTTTCCTCCAGTCGGGATCTTTTTCTTCATTCCTTCTAGTTCTTTTGTAGAAGGTTCTGTCTGTTGTTTTACGGCAGAGTGTAATAAATTGAAGCACTCTGGCCGTCGCTCGCAACAAGCGTTCCCATTTCGAAAATTTTGCTGGATTTGGGATGGCTTCTCTTATTACCGGAGCTCTATGTGATTCTGTAATGGTGAGGCATTTTTCCTCACCGGTGGGTTCGGATGACGTGGGTCTTTCGGTCGGCCATGCTGACGGTTCTTTGTACAGAAACAATGGGCCGCTGTACCACTCATGATTTGAGTCGAAGTTAGGTGGTACGTCCCTTGTAGCGGTGTCAGCTATGTTTAATTTGGTATGTACCCAGCGCCAGTCATCTACTTTACTATGGTCATTTATGGTTTCCTCGCTTGTGTGCAGCTCATTGGCCGCGTGGACGCGCTGATACGGGGCTTTAGTGTGTGCCCCGTGTAGCACCCATCCTAATTCTGTGAGCGAGGCGATTGGTTGGTGCGGCGGACCTCTGCGAATTTTAGTGGCTATCAGGAGTCTCCAATTATCTTGTCCTATTAAGATCCTCGGGTTGCCGGAGTCATATATTAATTGCTCCTTAAGGTCTTTTAAATGTCTACACTTTTCTATATCTACTGCACGCACAGTCTGTGGCCCCAAGTTTAGGCTGGCGACCGTGCGTGCTCTGAATTGCACCCTTTTCCGGTGGAGACTTTTGAGCGAAATTTTGACTCGTCGGGAGTTCGGCGAATCAAGGGTATTGTTCCCGATTGCGGTGATCTTAAAGGGGTCCAACCGCCCTGTTGCTCCAATTTGTTTGGCTATTTCCTTATCCATTAATGAGACTGTCGACCCGTCATCCAGCAGGGCGTGCGTATTTACAGCTCCCGCCGGTCCAATTACTCGGACTGGTATTATTTTTAAATAGGCGTGATGCTTTGACACGGCGAATGAATTTGCAACCGTTTCCTGAGGTTCTATTTGTGTGACCTCCGTTTTTTCCTTTTTATAATGGTGGAGAAGTCTATTGTGTGTCGCGGTGCATCCTTTTATTCCACACTTCGTGGTTTTACATTGGTGTGTTTGGTTTTTGTATCGCAAACACCGGAAACATAAATTATATTGTTTTGCGAGTTCCCATCTTTTGTCGGTATCCGCTTCTTTAAATTTTCTGCAGTCGGATCCGTAGTGGCCTTCCTTTTGGCACACTCTGCACTTCGGAGACGGCTTAGTGGTAGCCGTGTGTGTCCTATGTACTGGATGATTGTTCTGCGCCCCGTTTATGATTTCGGGAGGCGCAAATGCACTACAGTAGCGAGCTTGTTCGGTGATAAACTCGCTGAAAGAACCGAGGTCTGGCCTAGAGTCGTATTTTTCGGTATAAACTTTATACCACTGTGCCCGTATAGAATTGGGCAATTTGTCTGTGAGGTGTCGTAGCAGCTCTGCGTTGATGAGATAGTGGTCTCGTTTGAGTGCCCGTAGAGTGACGACACTTCCCCTCACTTTGCTTGCGAATGTGCAAATATCCCTAGGCGCTTCTGTACAGCGTGGCAATCCTCGTAACTTCTCGGTCTCAGCTTGTGCAATTGAGTCTGGACGCCCAAATTGTAGTTCCAGTTCTCGCATGATCTCATCTGGCTTAGCATGCCCGATGAGTTCCGAACTAACTGTCTCCAAGGCTCTTCCCTGTAGACTTCTTCGTAGTCTTGCCGTATTTTCGATATCGTTGAAGTAGCCTCGGGTTGTTTCATAAATGGCACGGAACGATAGCCATTCAGTATGTGCTCCGCTAAAGCACGGCAGTGTCATTATAGCTTTCGATGCTGCGAAAGTATGCGACGATGTACTCTCTGGTTTTGGTTTGTCAGCGAGTGCGGCTGTAGCGGATGTGAGCTCCGATATAAATGGTCGGAGCCCTCTGTCTTCATTTATGACAGATGCCTGGTTAGGCTTCGTTGGCAGGGGATTTTTCGTTACGTCTGCCGGATAGGGATCCTGGTAGGTGAGCTCTGATACAGCTGGTAGGAGCTCCCTGTTTTCATCAACCTTCGATTCCTGGCTAATTTTTAGTGGCACAGGATTCTTGGGTACTTCTTCCGGATCGTGGTCCTGGTAGGTGGGCTCTGATACGATTGGTAGGAGCCCCCTTTCTTCATCAACCCTCGAATCATTGTTTGTGAGCTTCTTTTGTGGCTCACTGAGGTCGACAACCTCCGGGGGTGGCCTTGTGACGGTTTTGTTTAGTGGGGCCTCCCCTCCGGTGACGACGCCATGAGTTGGCTTTTGCTTGGCCACGCTATTTTCGAGCCAAGATCGGACGTACTCGCTTTTAGAGTGACCATCTTCATCATAGTCGTCCGAATCATCTTCTTCCTCAGCCATTTGCAAGGAAATTTGTGCGAGTTCCAATTTAATTCTCAGCACTTCTTCACGAGCCTTCAAAACTTTTCTATTGGGCCGAATAGTCCCTTTTGACTTTATACTTTTATTTCGGTGGCCCCTGGGTGGCTCTTCGGTGCGGGAGTCTTCCCGGACTGTTGGCGGTGATGCACATCGAATGTCATTGTTGCCCTCTATATTTTTCATCTGCTTCGGTGTACCGGTTGTAGCGGCCGGCACGGGCAGGAGTACCCCCCCATCGCGGGGGCAAGGTGGCGCCTCAACGCCCTCTGTGGTCGATGGTGAGCGTGGTGGCATCTGGTGGCGGACGGCGTCGGTATTGTCCGACGGGCCTCCTTCCAGACCGACGGTCCACGCCATGGCTCCCCTTCCTTGCGAACGAGTGATCGGCATCTTGATTCTGAAAATTCTGCTGACTTTAATACGGTAGTGTTTATGTATCCGGTTCCGAAATACAAACGGATGAGGGATTCAGCTCGTACGACCAGCTAAATGCTGGACTCGGCTCGAAGTATAACGGAAGTATCCGGCTCGAGGGACCAACGAATGTGCCGGACGGGCGTAACTCTCCGGAGTAAATGTTGTCGAAGATACTCCGCGAGCCGCTCACGTCCTACACCTATAGGTTCCGGTGGATACTTTCACTACCGCCTTTGTGTATGCTGTTGGAGAACTGTGGACTGGGTTCAGAATTAAAAATGCACGATTTATAAATTAAATAGCAAGGGAGTGGCCAGCGGTTCAACTGATTAATTAGTTGCGAAATATTATAACTTATTTATTTATTTAACACTGTTTTTCAACTATGATTGTTCACTATATATTTCAAAACACAGATTTAATTAAACACACAGTAATATTAAAATTTCTATTGGTTTTTTAAAATTTCTATTCGTATTTTCAAAATATCTGTTGGTAATATCAAATTTCTATTGGCAGTAACAAGTTTCTATTGGTATTTTCTACTATTTCTATTGGTAATTTTGAATATCTATTGGGAGTAACAAATTTCTATTGGTAGTATCCAAAATTTCTATTGGTAGCAGCTGGTTTTCTAACACTACTGACTAGCAGCTATTAATCAACTAAAATTAGTTGAATTTAACACTTTTGTAACTGCGAATATCAGTTACCACTTTTTTCCGTCTAGCTAACACTTTTCACTATATGTAACGGCGAAATTTCCGTTACCACTTTATTCGGCTAGCTAACACTTTTTCACTATATGTAACTGCGAATATCAGTTACCACTCTTTTCAGCTAGCTAACACTATTTTACTATATGCAACTGAGAATTTTCAGTTGCCACTTTTTCCGACTATGTGTAACTGCGATTTTTCAGTTACGACCTTTTTCGGCTAGCTAAACTTTTTCTATTTCACTTTAACTTTTCACTGTGTTCTGCTACTAGTCACTTCAGCTACTACCGGATACTACTGCTTGTTACTGGTAGTTCTTCCTACTACAATGTTACTGTGATTTGCCCCCATAAGGTAGACTTCGGCTATACTCTATAGAGAGCCGCTTGCCAATTTCCGGTTTTGCCTTTTTATTATGAAACATTTTCATTACGTAATTTGCACAAATTGCAATTTTTCTATATAATGCTAATTTTTACTCTAACACGCTATACACTATAAAATAGGCATTTTAGTCCTTTATCATTATGTGATAAGGGTTACTTGATATATTTACATTCAAAAAAGTTATTAATCAAAATGTACCTAATTTACATAACAAAAGTGCACATTAAATCTTTAATTTTACTATATTTCTCAAATGCGTTTATTTACATAAATTATCTATTTACTTATTTCAATCTATATACCATATGCTAACTAAATATCATATTTACAATTCTTTCAGAACATAAAAATATTCTCATTATTTTCATATAAAGTATTGCGCAGTTAATTAACTTCTAGAAAGTTCCACGATATGCTGCGCTGTGATTGGTCGAATTTTTATTTAATGTTTAAAGTCGTTTATATCAACTTATTATTAAAACGATACTTTATACAAATATATTACGAGTTGTAAACATACTGTAAACTATATTAAACACAATTTATTCGATTTTGTTGCCAATTTCACCTTTTAAAACAATTTAATATTCTTTAATCACTTTTGCTTAAAGTCTTTAAACCGTCGCGAACATATTTTGTTTTTAATCCTAATGATTTTGTAATCAAGGTGTGAGTATCATAAAGTACTGGATAATTTTGCACTGTTTCTATTAAAACCTCTGTATTTAGCGCCATTTTGCACGCGGTACACGTGGCTTGTTGTAAAAATTTGCAACAAACCGCGCTGCGGCCACCGACCATCGATAGAGGCCGCACGTTCGCTAACAGGCGGTGGGGGCGGAGCATGCGGCCGCGGCCAGTTGTAATCGCTTGCAATGTAAGAGTCTGCAAGTCGGCCATGTCGCGGCCGCATGCCCCGCCCCCACCGCCTGTTAGCGAACGTACGGCCTCTAGCCTCTCAAGTTTCTCCGCATGATGATTCGAAATGGTGTCAACAGTCATTAGCGATCGTAGAAATTCAACTTGACCTGGTCTACTGCAGTAATAGTTAACCCATATAAATATCAGCTTTCAAACATTAATTTTTGGTCAAATCCACAATTCATCATCATCATCATCATCATTACAGCCCTTCACAAGTCCACTGCTGAACATAGACCTCCCCAAAAGGAATGCCACAAAGCACGGTCCTGAGCCACCTGCATACATCGACTTCCTACACGTCTTACCAGGAAGTCACTCCATCTAGTGGAGTTTCACCCTACACTTCGTCCGCCGGTACGAGGCTGCCCTTTGAGAACCTTTTTTGCCCATCGGTTTTTTGCCCATGGCAAGTCCATTGCCACTTCAACTTACTACTTATTAACAAACAATATCTTGAAGTCTTCAACTATGCTTGGATTCGATAAAGACTTAATTTTATTAATTATGGGTTTGCAAAGCAAATTATTATTATACCCAGCCATCATCGCCATTAAAATAAGGATATTTCGTAATTTTAATAGCCTCACGAATTGTGGTAGAGACATACTGCAGCTATATTAGTAGCATAGTTTTAGCACGAATGGGTCGGCTCGACCGGGAAACGACCACGTTCTCACAGAATACCAGCGTAAAATAGCAGCATAACACTACCGTGTTTCGTATGGTGGGTGTAGAGAACCGGAAACCCTTTTTACTGGAAACGAAGCATTCTGTCTTAGTAGTCTTAGAAATTTTCAAATCCAACATTACAACTATGGCAAATATCCCCCCTATGAGGCAATCTATGGGGGAGGCCTGTTCAGCAGTGGACTTTAATAGGCTATAACGATAACAGAATATAATAAAAGGAACAATCCTGAACATGTTTACAAACAGATTGCAAACTTCCCTGTGCGTCGATTTTTCAAATGGGATATATTATGATATTACGTATTTTTGGTTGAGGAGTAGCACCTTTCACTTACCCATGCCAATGTTCTGGGTCAACGCCTGCACCCCAAAGTACGTGAAGGGTCCAGCTTCGAAGACGAGGTTCTCGCGACCCACCGTCACTTCTACGCGACCTTCGAGTATCAGCACGAAGTAGTCCACCTGTGATCAAGCATTCCAAAATAAAAAAAAATAATGACCAACGAGTACACGGTCCACCTTATGGTAGGTAAATGCCGTAGCCCGTAGACCACACACACTTTTCTTCTACCCTCGAATAAGAAAAGTAAAGTGAAGTTACAGCCGTCGTATATACGTCCTACTGAGAGTTAACCCTCTCCGAAATGAGATTAACCCTCGAATAAGTATCAAAATGTAAATACGTCGTCACCCCCTGAGGACTAAGATGGAATGCCTCGTTTCCAATAAAAAGTGTCTCCGGTTCTCTACACTCACCATACGAGAATACAATAGCATTAAGCTGCTATTTTACGTTGGTATTCTGTGAGAACGTGGTGCTTTCTTGGTCTAGTATGGTGAACATTAATGGGAGCCATGATAACCCAAAGAATAAGCACTCTAAAATTACAGGGATCACGCTCTCACAGAATACCAGCGTAAAATAGCAGCTTAATGCTGCTGTGTTTCATATGGTCAGTGTAGAGAATCGGAGACCCTTTTTACTGTAAACGAGGCATTCCATCTTAGTCCACAGGTGAATAGATGTAGATGTTTTTTTTATAACTGGCTTTACGGCTCTGGGTTCTAGCCCTTCTGAGCCTGAAGTGACAATGTATAATTATCCTTCATAGTACACTGCTTCACAATATGTTGATACGTCACATTGTGTAGTCCTTGGGAAATTTTGACGGCAACGAGCCAGCAGACAGCTGACGGTTGGCGATGGTATCTCAAGGCGTCAAAGCAGACAGTCACTTTATCTTGAGAATCACATCACCATCAGAGAACTTGTTTCACCATTTCCACTAATAGTTCACATGCGCAGACACAAAATTGCACCACTTTTACATATCAAAGTCCACTTCAAACCATTATTTAAACAATGATATAGGAGCAGCAATCCGCTGCCGGTCAAGTTCCCGCCAAAACTTCCAAGATGTAGATGTTTGACAGTATCCACTAATTATCAGGCGGACTGTGTGCTTGTTTGTCACCATTATTCTATAAAAAAAAAAAATTGCAAATGTGTGCGCCCAGCGGTGAACTTTTACAGGCTCATAAAGAAAGAAGTGGACTGGATTCTAATTTTCTTCTGTTCTCTGTTGTAGTGAACTAGTCAGAATCAACTCACTGGGTTGCCCTGCTGATAGACGTAAGTGACGGGGTCCCGTTTGCTCTTGTTCTTGACCTTGATGTGCTGGATCACGTCCTGCTTCAGAAGCCGCCGGAGCACCGTCTCCGAAACGGCGTCCGGCCGGAACGCGTCCACGCCTGCGGGATTAATGTTGGAATTCATTAATTGACCACGTCATTTATCTGGTGGCCGTAAGCGCGACTACTGATGTTGCCGGGCCAAAATCAATTATTTGGTTTTTCTATCAATAAATTCTCAGTAGGAGCCCAGAGTCAGGATAATGGCGGTGTCTCACCACCGTGCTTCGGAAAGCACGTAAGCCCGTTGGTCCTGCGCCTGATCTCTCTCCGGTCGTGTCGGTTTACCGTCCCATCGGACTATGACAGTGAGGGAATAGAGAGTGCACCTGTGCTTGCGCATACATTTGAGCACTATAATGCTGTCATGCTCCGGTCGCCGTGACAATTTCAGAATATTGAAACATCCTGAACTGACTGTAAATTAAATTGTAACATTTTATTACATCATCATCATTACAGCCCTTCACAAGTACACTGTTGAACATAGGCCTCTCCCAAAGAATGTCACAAAGACGGTCCAGAATTACCTGCATCCATCGACTTCCTGCTCGGTTACCAAGTCGTCACTCCATCTAGTGGGGGGCAGCCCTACACTTTGCTTACCGATACGAGGCTGCCACTTGAGGGCTACATGGCCGGCACATTGCCAACTTCAGCTTACTAATCCGTTCTATATTAATACATATGTACACACATACTCGTACTAATAAAAGCGTGTTCCTTAAACTGAAGTTTGTTCCATGAAAAATAACTAGACATTAAAATTTGCCAAAGCAGAGAAGCTCTCACAAGCAACACCAGTTCGTGGCACAAGTGGCAGCCACGGACCGACCCCCTGCTATACTCACTGGTACTTAAAAATTGGAAGGTGGCTAGCGTGAGCTGTGGTGATATGTGTATGCGTTGGTTCTCGTGGCGTTCAGCGAAAGCGGCGAAGTCCTGCAACTTATTTTGCGGACGGTTCCTGCGCCTTTTCGTACGGTTGTCCACTGCGAACGGTATAAAAAAAAACAACATTAAAATTGTTGGTCTTTCGAGCCGAATAGCAGACTACTTTGGTGGATTAAATAACTATTATTCTTCATAAAAAATAATAACTTAATTCATATTTTTTTTTTATTTTATTTTGATACGTTAAATGTTCTAAAATACAGAAAACGTGAAACGTGAAAACGGTGAAATCAAGTACATCTATACAAATAAATAAAATTGAAGTGTCTGTTTGTAATGTCAAAATTACAGTTTTTTACTAGACGCATATGAAAGCAAATACGATACTTATAACTAAAATACAATTTTTAAAATTTTTGTCTGTCTGTCTGTCTGTTTGTTCCCGCTAATCTCCGAAACGGCTGGACCGATTTTGACGGGACTTTCACTGGCAGATAGCTGATGTCATAAGGAGTAACTTAGGCTACTTTTATTTTAGAAAAAGAATTAGGGTTCCGCGCAAAAACATAAAAACCCTAACACGCGAGCGAAGTCGCGGAGAACAGCTAGTCTATACAAATAAATAAAATTGAAGTGTCTGTTTGTAATGCCAAAATTACAGCGTTTAACTAAATGCATATGAAAGTATAAACGGTACTTACGAGGGCGGCACTGAAAATTTCGGGAATCAAGGAAGTGACACAACATTACTATTTAAAAATGTATTTATTGCTTTACGAAGTATTCTCCGCGAAATTTGACACATTTTTCCATACGATGGGACCAATCATTGAAGCAACCATTCCATTCGGAAGTTGGGGTCTCTAAAATAGCCGTTTTGTAGGCGTCCACAGCTTTTTCATGTGATGAAAATCCCTGTCCACGCAATTTATTCTTTATTTTAGGGAAAGTATAGAAATAATTAGGGCTTAGGTCGGGGCTGTACGGCGGATGGTCTAATAATTCTATGTTTTCTTGCTCTAAAAACTCTTTTGTTCTGTGTGCGGTGTGAGAACTCGCATTGTCGTGATGGAGGATGATGCGGTGGTTGCAGTTCTCTTTACGGAGTTCAGAAACGACCTGTGGCAAACAAATGCTAGCATACCATTCTGCATTAATCGTTCTTTGTCCCTCAAGAGGAATAGTCGTAACATGGCCGGTTTTGGAGACAAACGTGGCCACCATTTTTTTTGCAACACTCCGTGAACGAACAATTTTTGTTGGCTTTAACTCATTTTCGAACACCCAAACTCGTGACTGGTTTTTTGTTTCGGGTTCGTACGCGTATATCCAGGATTCGTCACCTGATACGATGTTGTATACAGCATTTGAGGATCCTGCGTGGAATCTTTCGAGAGTTCCGACGCACCAAGTAACGCGAGCCGCTTTTTGCTCTTCACAGAGCGAATGCCGTATCCATCGGGAAAACTGGAAATGAGGCATTCCATCTTAGTCCTCACGGGTGACAACGCATCTACATTTTGATTTGTAACAGAGGATAGATGTGGATGTCTATGGGCCGCAGCAACCACTTACCATCAGGTGGACTGTGTGCTCGTTTGTCACCCTTATCCTATAAAAAAAAAAAAAAAAAATTACACCTAATTGTTCATGCAAGATTATTTGTATTTGACCCATGCCAATGTCTAAAGTTCCCTGAATTTCGCGGTATGTCACATGTCGATCTTCCTCAATCAGCTTACGCACAGCATCAACGTTTTCTTGGGCGACTGCAGTTTTTGGACGACCTTGACGGGAATCATCACTGAGCTTGACACGTCCACGTTGAAATTCAGCAAACCAGCGATAAATTGTGGTTTTGGATGGGGCTTCATCACCAAATGCAAAAATCATCCGGTCAACACACTGTTTTTGTGTTAAACCACTTCGAAAGTCATAATAAATCATCGCTCTTGAATTTTCTCGAGTCAATTCCATTTTCTCAACGACTAAACAAGTTTGACAAAACCTTGTGACAAGACCGAGAATCTTTTTTTAAATAAATAAATGGTATTCGATTTTTAAAACCAAGGACTTTTAATTAGAAAGATTTTAATATGACAGGAACAGTGGAAATATTCTATTCCCGATACTTTTAGTGCAGCCCTCGTATAACAAAAATACACTTTTTTAAATTTTTTTCTGTCTGTCTGTCTGTTTGTTCCGGCTAATCTCCGAAACGGCTGGACCGATTTTGACGGGACTTTCACTGGCAGATAGCTGATTTCATAAGGAGTAACTTAGGCTACTTTTATTTCAGAAAAAGAATTAGTATTCCTCGCAAAACATAAAAACCCTAACACGCGAGCGAAGTCGCGGGGAACAGCTAGTAATATATAATTTCGGTTCAACAATTTTTGATGGCTTAGTTATTTTAAATCTTCTGTATGCAAATCGAATGTAGTAAAAGGAAACCTAAATAAGAACGGAGGAATATTTTACTAAAAATTTACTTATAATATTTTGATCCTTTAAGCCGGATACTCACTGAATACATCAGTTTCATCGACGATTTCCGCCTGGATCATCTCTTCTATGACATCCTCCAGGGTGACCAGGCCTATCGTTTCATAGAACGGATCGCCTTCCCCTTCGTTATTGATGCGATGTACAAACGCCATGTGACCTTTGTGTCCTAATAATTCAATTAATTGGTATGATTATTATTAAGTTAAGTTCTTTTTTTTGTAGAATAAGGGTGACAAAGGAGCACACAATCTACCTGATGGTAAGTGGATGATGTAGCCCAATAGACATTTACATTTATCTTTGATTAGCGTCCTGAGGACTAAGATGTATTGCCTCATTTCCAGTAGAAAGTGTCTCCGGTTCTATACTTTACCATGCGAAACACAGCAGCATTAAGCTGCTATTTCACGCTAGTATTCTGTGAGAGCTTGGTCCTTTCCCGGTCGAGCCGACCCATTCGTACTACAACCATAATAAAGCTGCAGAGTGGCTCTACTACGTTTGAACGAAACACTAAAATTAATAATTGTACTTTTTCTTCTTCATCAGGCCAGAAACATTCACAGCTGAACATGGGCATCACCCGTTGGAATGGTATGGCTTAGTCTTACACCTTGACATTACTCCCTATCGCAAATCTAAATATTTTACGCTTGACGTAAACGAGGTAGTTATACCGCTATTTATCGAAAGTCATCAGACCTGTCTTAAGTATTACATAATCTCCAAACACCCACAGGAGGAAATGGGGTCACTGAAAATAATAAAGCATTTGAGGCTATTTCATTTTCACTATAGTATGAAGGATATTCCTGCAAGACATTCCGACATTCAGACATGCAGGAAGTCAATGGATGCAGGTGGCTCGGGACCGTGCTTTGTGGCATTCCTTAGGGGAGGCCTAGGTTCAGCAGTGGACTTGTGAAGGGCTGTAATGATAATGATGAAGGATATTCTTTGTCACTACTTAGAGACACTTGAGGTATCTCTAAGGCTGGCAACCAAAGTTTGTTTTCTGTCAGCAGTTACAATGAGGGCTAGTAATCATTCGTTCACCAGATGTCGCGAGTTGAGACTGAAGTGAAGTTTTTTGTTACGAAATGTCATTTAATTTAAAAGTTGCGCATTAAAAAAAACGTTTATCGTTTTATATAGTACACTAGGTACTATATAAATACACAAAACAATGTTTCAGTGTGGTTTGCTACTTAACTTTTTTTTTCTATTTTTAGGAATACCCGCAGTTTGTTGTATTTATTTCTAGTCTAATTAATATAAAATATAACTAATATTCCAGAAAGAAACAAACCCTTGCATTTAACAAACAAATTAATTTCCTCACTATGTAATCTATCAAATAATTCACCTCATTAGTGGCGCCGTCCTGGCGGCAAAGTCGGGAACGTTTTAGGGAAAAAAATATATTTTGAGGACATGTGGAGTCTCGGCAACACGCATTCTTCTCTGACACCCTTCTCTGCTCTAAAATTCTCTCAGTAATAAGACCTCTTCTATTTACACTTCATAGAGTCAATTCCACCATCGACGAACCTCACCTTCCTTGAACTGTTTGAACATGACGTCCAGCGTGACGTCATCGAAGACGAAGTTGCACGGGTTCTGGTAGTACTGGCACAGCGTCTTCAGCGGCGTGTTGTCGTCAGGGTCCACGAAGGCCAGGTCCTTGATGAAGAGCACTGTCACGATGTTGCCGCGGCTGCCCTCGTATACCGGTATGCGGGAGTAACCTACAATGTAAAAACTTCTTTTTTTTCAGCCCACCTGATGGTAAGTGGTTGCTGTGACCCATAGACTAATGATGCAACAGAAGTGTCATAACAGAAGTAGAAACGGACACAGAAGTCAAAAATAAATTTTAGCAGAAACTGAAACGGAAACGGATGCGGAAGTGTAAATACTATAAAAAAGTACAATTTTTTTACAAATATAATTTTTTTACAAATATAATTTTTATTAAATTAATATTCAAAATTAAGTAGCGGTAAGTTAGCAAGCTGTTCGAGCATCTTACATATGTGTAAGACCAGCTCTGATAAATAATTGCTTATTGGTGACGCTTCTTGGAGGAGCTGATAAATATTGGCGTACTACCAGCGAAAGATTACGATGTTTGTGTCATTTCCATTTCATTTTCACCACATAAGTACTTCTGAAGGTGTTTTTTTTTTATAGGATAGGGTGACATACGAGCACGATGTCCACCTGATGGTAAGTGGTTGCTGTGACCCATAGACATCTACATTTATCCTCAATAAAGAATGAAAATGTAGATGCGTCGTCACCCGTGAGGACTAAGATGGAATGCCTCGTTTCTAGCAAACAGGGTCTCCGGTTCTCTACACTCACCATACGAAACACAGCAGCATTAAGCTGATATTTTACGCTGGTATTCTGTGAGGGCGTGATCTTACCCCGGTCGAGCCGACCCATTCGTGCTACAACTATACCACTTATATAGCAGCAGCATGGCTCTACCACGTAAATAAGCTTTAGCCGGCTATAAATTATGTTAAATACTAACTGTCCCCGCGGCTTTGCTCGCGTGAAATCCGCTTTTACATTTCTGTCAGTGTGTCCTGTCTGTACGTTGCAAACATTCTCCTCAGAGACTTCATAATCAATAGTTCAATAGTTTTTTTACAGTGTTTCATGAATTCAGAAATAAGTAATAATAATAACTTTTAAATTGAAACATCACTTATGACCAGAATAGTAATAGATATGAAACTTTCATTGGACGCCTATCAGTTTCCTGTATGTATTAGATAAAAAATTACGTAGAAAAGTTTATGGTGTGATAACTTATAGTTGAAATAATTAAAAATTTAACTGACTTGAAAAATAGGAGGAGTTGTAATGTTACCCGAAATCTTTGTCAATTGAGAACCAATTTAATGATGCTTTTTCTACCGACTTCAAAAAGGAGACGGTACTCAATTCGACCTCATAACTTTTTACTGGGTGAACCGATTTTGAAGATTCTTTTTTTATTTGAAAGCTGGTGCTTCTCATGTGGTCCCATATTTGATCACGGTCTGACTAATAGTTTTTGAGTTATTCATAATAATTTATATTGAAGTGGGTTGTACAAAATTTTTCAATTTTAAATTATTATTGCATAGGTTATCCTACATTTCTTCAAAACAGGTTAAGGAAAGCTATGTGTCTCTAACCTCTCTCTCTCTTCCTTCTTTTGTTTATGGTCACCATCTACCACGTAAAATATGTTGTGTTTAGTTGTAGTTCATAAGTTGGTATCCTTTCTTATTAAGTGCACGCTACCCGTTAAAAAAATTTTTTGTGGGTTATCTGGAAGAGACTCCTGTGTATCTATAAGGCTGCCTTTTATTTTTAACCTCAATTTTTGTTTAGTTGTGTAATAGCAAACTTTTCTTGGTAAATCTTTACTTTTTTTGCACTTAAAATTGCAATTAACAATTTCATCGGTGCCGGCGGGGATCGAATCCGGGTTGCTCGCGTAATACTGTGGCGAGCGCTAATCATCTGAGCTACCACGGCTCTACCACGTTCTCGGCGGTGAAGAAAAACATCGTGAACCGGCATGTCTGAGAGATATGAAAAAAAAATATTTCGAAGACATGTGAAGTTCGCCAACACGCATTGGGGCAACGCGGCGGACATTTCGTTGCCCTAAAACCCTCTCAGAAATGAGAGGAGGCCTGTCTCTAGCAGTAGGACGTATATAGGCTGTAACTTTACACTTTCCTTGATGTACAATAAAGATTACTGTATTATTTTGTATTATACTTCAAGGGTGGTCGCAATTCATTTAAAGAAAAATTCACCTCTGAGGACGCAAAACAGGCGATAAAGTTTTTAATGTAACTATTTAAACGACGTTATAAGTAGCGGCACGAAAGTCTAGCGATGACCGTTATTGCGCATAAGTCGCGCTGATTGGCTTGTGCGTATCGTTCGCACGCGGTGATTGGCTCTACAGTCGCAATTCAATTCGTGCGCGTCACCTCCACGTTTCGTTCAGCGCTTGACTTACGTGCCGCGATTTGTAATTGGTAAGTTCAGTTTGACATACGGACCTATTTACACTTCGACAAGTACAGTAGCGAGTTTAGTTACAGGTCAGTTGACAATAAACGGTTAAGTGGGCAGTAGCGTTGAAATATGTTCGTGGCGAGTTTAGTTAAAAAAAGTACAATTTTAAATTTTGAGGGTCGAACGCGAACACGGCATTCTGTCAACTTATGCACTGAACTAAATTCGCCAGTTCACTCGAGCGGCGAGTTTAGTTGCGGATAGCGGGAGACGCGCGGGAAGGCAACACTTCAAACTTAACTCGCCGAAAAATAGCTCGGTCGGCTATCCCGTTTAATTTTTTTATTTATTTATTTAAACTTTTATGCACAAAAAGAAAAATCGTACATAGGGCGGACTTAATGCCTTAAGGCTTGCCCTCCCAGTCAACCATTAGGCTAAGCAGAGATAAACATATGAGAGGTAGAGAGGTAGTGCAGCAAAAGTAAACTAATAATGAGAATAAAAGGTGACGAATTTCGAATAAACCAGAATATATACATGTGTATATATATATATATATATATATATATATATATATTAAGGTATTCTATACATATATAATACAAATGTAAATATGTTACTGCATACGTACACATACATAAATCTACTTAAATACATTAAATTAATTAAGTACATATATCTATACCATGATAAATAAGGAAAATATGTGATGATAACATCATTCTTTAGGATAAAGCGTTAATTCACACTGGCAATGCTTTACTAAAATGTTCACGAACTTTGTTTTTAAAAAGAAACTTGGATGCTTTTTTAATGTCAATAGGTATTTTGTTCCAGTCTTGTAGCCGTAAGAGCGAAATAAAGGGACATATAACCAGATATATATCATATAATTACATATATCTCGTTCTATTTAATTATTAATTTGATACTCGCCAGGATCGCAACTCGCTATTGTACTTGTCGAAGTGTAAATCGATCATAAGACAGTTTGACACAATCGAGTTAATTAAACATCTTTACTCACCTGATTTGATGATCTCCGACATGGTCTCGAAGTCGAGAACACTGGTGATGGGCAGCATGAACGCATCCTCCAGCTTCGTCATCACGTCCGACACGGTCTTCTTGCGGAGCTCTAGCGCACCGGAGATTATGTTCACCTCGTCCTTGTCCAGGTCGTTTATGTCTGTCGTCACCTTAGGACAAGAAGGGCCGCTTCAATGGGTTGGGCAAAGTCTAAATTATAGTCACTCCTGGACTTATTTTAGGGGGAATGTAAGAGATGTTAATTATTGTTGTGGTAATAAAAGCCAGCGCTGGTGAAGAGTGGAAAATATTGGGTGGGAAAAAAGAAGAAAAAAAAACACAGACTATTAATGTTCGGCAAGGCAGAACAATAGACAATTATAAAATACCATCGATTCTTAGAAAATTCGTGTAATTTTTTAATATAAGTTCCGACGCAGAAACTAATGCGGCTGAAACGGCACGAAATATCAATGACGTACTACGAGAGTCAAATAAGAATAGGAACGTCAATGACCTCGAATGACCGCGATCTGCCAACTGTGACTTGAAAAGTACGGCTTGCAAAGAAAATTAATTTGCGTATTAATAACGTATTTGTTTTTCTTTATTTAACTGTGTTTTAGTATTACGAAATCTACTGAACTCATTATTATTATTATAAATAATTTAAAATATTGATACCAGTCTGTGGAATATTTTAAATACCTATCTACATAAATCCAGCAGTGATGACAATGATGACTACTCAGACAGTGATACGGAGATGAGCGAAATTGAAATGCTAGATTCCGATTAATACTTTTTCGTTCATGGTCCTTTTGTAAATAAATATTATTTCAAAAATATCTGTTTTGATCACCCTACCCAACTGGTTTGAATTGACAGCAAAGGCGTCATAATATGGCGCCAGGTTAGTCCTATTCTTATTTGAATCGCAAATTTAGCGTTAATGCGGAACCGGTTTGCACACGCGACGATAGCTCTTCCATCATATCGTAACTACAAAAAAGGAAATTTTGACTCAAATTATTATCTGCAATGAGAAGTGGATGTTATTCGACAAACATAATTGTTCATCACAGTGATTAGATGAATTAACGTAACCAAGCCAAACATCACCCGAAACCAAATTTTAGATAATAATCATGGTTATAAATATATTGCAGAAGAAAACAAAACCCTAAAGAAACAAATGAACAGCTGATTTTGTAGGAAGAAAAATTCTGAAATAAAACACTTATTTGAATTTAGAATTCCAAGTCAAGCTATGAAGTTTTGTTTTGGCGGGAACTTGACTTAGAAATTGATTGCTTGCCTTGAATTAGATTTTGACACATAAAAGCGGTGCGTATTTGTGTATTAAATGTCTGTATCATATGGGCTATTAGTGGAAACGGTGAAACAAGTGCTTCGATAGTAATGTGAACCTCAAGTTATTGTGTCTGATTAGGCGCCTTGAGCTACTATAGTCACTGACTGTCCGCTGACTGTCGTCAAAATCGCGAAAAAACTTCGCAATGTAACGCAAACACATATTGCGAAGAAGTTTTTAAACAAATCAATTAAGTATTACTTGGGATAATTTCATAATACTTGACACTAGCAAAAGTACAATCGTATTAGTCCATTACCAAAAAAAAGAAAACAATAGCTACTAAAATTCAAAGTAGCCAATACAATAAAACGGCAATTTCACAGGTAATAACCTAACACAATAATCAAATTACAAGGCTTCAGAATACATCGAAATAATAACAAATGTCGTGACATTATATGAAAAGCGTCACTAACAGACGTGATGAATGTAGTTCAGGGACTACGTCTCTACGTAAATTTGACTTGATTTCTACGCAAGCCACACCCAAGTTCGACTCAAAACAGCAGCAATGAAATTGTTAATTTCAATTTATACTGCCGATTTTCCAGTAACATGTCTAAAAATATAATATGTCGCGTGTAAGTGGGTATTTCGGCGCAGTGAGAAACTGCAAACAATGAAGACTAAAAATTCATTGTCACTGAGAACTAAGATGGAATGCCTAACCCTTTAGACCGGAATATAGCAACAGGTGCACTGATAGAAGAGAGAAGAAATAGGAGGCTGATAGAGTTTGCGTGTAATTTAAAACTGCACGCGCCTCCATCATATTTTTAGTGGATTTCATCACGTCTAATTTAATAAAAAAGCTACTAATCTACTAAAACATTAAAAAAGGCGCATAGATTTAGGTTTAATGATTTTATAATTAAACTAGCGTGTCGCCCGGATTCGCACGGGTGATTTCTAAATCTCGAAAACAGCGCCTACCGGGTCCAATTGTAAATCTAAACTATTCTCAAATCAACTTAATCACACAAATAAAATTTCACCAAATCGATCCAGTCGTTTAGGAGGAGTTCAGTCACATACACACGGAGAAATATATAAATATGACACAATCTACCTTAAATTTAAGGGAGGCGCATGCGTTTTTAAATGACTCGATCTCTATCACCGTCTCATTTCTGCTGCTTAACGGTGCGTCTGATACTGTACTTCGGTCTGAATTCCATCTTAGTCCACAGATGTGTCCACGCAAATCTAGCATTCTTTGTTTGAAGTTACAGGATAAGGATCAAAAGCGTATTGCGCCGCACAAATTGCATTATAACACCTCGGAAATGAGAGAAAACCTTAGCCTACAAATATATAAATTGTAACATTAACTTTTTTATTTAACGATATTCAACTAAAACCAAACAATCAAGATACTTAGGAAAGACTGAAGTACAAAGTGAATAATAAAATTTGGGTATACTGACAACGAAAGGTGAAATAAGACGTACATCGACTCGGACGTTAGTACTTCAAATCAGGGATACGTGCGCTTCGTCAGACCAAGGTATAAGGATTTCTTTGCGTTCTATAAATTATAAGAATTAATAAACAATACAACACATGCTTTACTTGAATCAAGAGTCCAGGGCCAAATTTACGATATCCTGATGATATACCTACTTAGGTATTTTTTTTTAATGACCGTAGAAGAAAGTTAATCCCGGGGTTAATACGCTCCATGTTGTTGTGAGGTTGTACGAAGCTTGTTCTATTTATGCAGAGTCGTTCAGAAATTTCAATAGCGTGATTTAGGCTTTCACTGGGTAAGATTTTCTTAGTAGTGGTAGTAAGATTTTAGTTCGAACGAGTTGGCTTCGGTATACGCGAACATATGGAGTTTGACGGTTGGACGTGGAGCGCTATTTATTTTTATTTTATTCGGAACACCAACAGCTTTTTTACATTTCAAATATTACAAAATTATAAATGTACATAACTATTGAAAGGTATTCGCATGGTACTATAAAATTCTAGGGTACAAACAAGTTATCGAACACGGCAACATCTTTTGATACAAGCTTGTTTATTCAAGTATTCTAATTTAATTTACTTTTTGAAGTGAACACTTATTCAGCCACGCTTCGGTTCGCGTCACCGATGACCTCGACATGCTCGTGACGTCACAAGCTTGTGTACATGTATACACATATATCATTGAGTTTTCACTTCTGTCGGCGGTCCTAATGGCTGCCTCTGTTTTTTTTTTTAGAATTAAATTATTATTGTTCAGACTCGTTAATTGTATTACTATTTCAATTCGAGCATTCTCACATGTGAACTTAGCTGTAGTGAGAAATAGTCCGTAATGTATTTTTTGAGCGTCCACAATATATTTTTTTAATTCTAATATTTAGAAACAAAAATATATGATTAGTGTAATCTTAGAATGACAATAATAATAATAATAAATATTTATTTCATTTCGAATTACGCATGTTGACATACAGGAATCAGAATGATTACAATTAATAATAAGGGTAAAATCCTATCTTTCGAACAGATCTCAGGCCGTAGTAGTTGGTTCTTACAGGTCTAACTTCATCAATATTCCCTCCGGGATTCCACAGGAATCTCATCTAGGTCCATTATTATACAATGCATATATATATGACATATTCACCTGTTTTGACTCCACAAACTACCTTTTATATGCGGATGATAAGAAAATCTTTTATAAAATTAATAATATTCAAGACTGCCATACCCTTCAAAGCACTTTAAACAAACTGTCGTATTATTACTCTGTTAATAATATAACTGTAAATGTACTTAAATGTCAAAAAATATCATTCACACGCAAAAATAAACCTATAAAATTTACATATAGTATAAATAACATCCCAGTTGAAGAAGTAGATGAAGTTCGTGATTTAGGCATTACACTTGACAAGAAACTGACAATGACTAAACACGTGGATACTATAGTGCAAAAAGCTTACAAAAATCTAGGATTTGTTCTACGTATTTGCAAACCTTTTTCAGACATAAACTGTATTAAAAGTATTTACTACGCGCACGTTCGAAGCGTTTTAGAATACGCAAGTAGTATTTGGTCTCCCTATTATATTACCCACAAACAACAAATTGAAAGTGTTCAGGCAAAGCTCATAAGGCACCTGAATTATAGAACTCACACTTATTCTGATTATGTTACAGGCTGCCGAAATCATAAAGTAATGTCCTTAGAAAATAGACGTACTCTCTTAGATATGATGTTTTTGTTTAATATAGCTAATGGCTACCTGGATTCCCCGATTTTGCTATCTGCTATAAATGTAAATGTACCCAAGAAGCGTACAAGACACACCCCTTTATTCGCTCCCAACGCTCGAAATACTAACTATGGAAGAAACTCACCCTTGACTCGGATTTGCTCAATATACAATAAAAAATTCTCGAACTTAGATATATTTTACATGTCCAAAGATAAATTCAAACAAGAAGTTCTCAAGCTTTTACGGTAAATAACTTATCTATTTGCATACCTATTATTATAACATTAAAGTATATCATTTCATATGTTGTTTATTTTTTTTTATATTGATATATTATAAATAATACGTATGATAAAACATTTATTTATATATCTATAGACCCATACCTACACGAACACACACACACACACACACACACACACACACACACACACACACACACACACACACACACACTCACACACACACGCACACACATGCGTGCGTGCGCGCGCGTGCGCACGCGCATACCTCTTAGTCATAGTTTACTAGTTTCACCTTGTTCTTATTTGATATGTATTAAGAGTAGGAGATA